GTGACACCTTGTTATGCAGACCTAGTCATACTAGAAAACAGTTTTATTTATTCTCCTTGCTATTATATTTCGTTGTTATTTTATTAATAAAAAACAAGATTATGGGGGATGGGAGGGGGCTCGTAGCTATAGATACTTCGGTTTTTGTAGAAACTGATATATAACATGCTGCAGAGCTGGGAAGTGTCCATTACAAGCATCCTAAAGAGGACTAAGGCTTCTCTTTTGGTAGCATTTAAGATTGACAATGGTGTTTGTGTTGTCTCACCAGATGCTATCAGCAAGAGAGATGGTGACACTGTGCTAATTAAGTTTAGTGGAAGGCAATGGAATTGGAAGGTTTGAATCCTGTTTGCGAGCTACAAAATACATAATTATGATTATTTTTAGTTGTACAGGTAGAGTTTTTGCTGAACCATACATAGCTACTCAAAAGATATACTTTTTATGGATTTTGCTTGACATGTTAACAAAATGATCAAAAATTTTAAAAAGTAAAAAATATTGACAAGTTAAGGGAGCATGAGTAATGTGCAAAAAAAGGGCTGACAGAGCCACTAAGAAGACTCAGAAGATATACAACAGTGTTGCACCAAAGCAGTTGAAGAAACGTAGCAAAAGCAAAAAGGAGAAATAGAAAGATATACATGTACTGACGACTAGTCACTTGAAGCAGTCAATGGAGAGGAATGGCCTCTGACAACACCTTTACCCATTCAACTAGATGTGCCATCAACCAACACGTCATTCTCACCAGAAGGACATGTACTATCTCCTAAAACACCTCCACTCCTCCCAAACCCAATATCCCTCCCACCTACATCAGTATACTTACCTGCTTCACAAGAACATGTACCAGTACCATCAACACCAGTATCATCACAGCCACCTGCTTTACCATCACAAGCTTATTCCACCATTAGTTCCAGTGCCTGAATTTGATTATATCAATACTCTTCAGGTGAAAACAAGAAGCTGCAGTAGACGAAACTTTTGTGCCAATATGACTCGCAAGCTTTTCACAAAAGAAGAAATGATATCTTGCAATGTAAGTGGTGTCAGAGGAAAGAAGACAGATGACAAATGGAGGATGAACTACATCAAAGCTCTCTCCTTCCAACACTACCCAGAGCAAAGCCAGTCCAGTGAAAAGAGCATGACAGAGTGGCAACAGTGTTGAAGCAATTGAAGCTGCTGCCAGAAATATAAAGAAGAATAACTCTTCATTACAAAATCGTAGTATGGACAAGACATGATATATTATTATATATAATATTATATTATCATAAACATGCATGTATGAACATCAATCTCAATAGCCAGATGTAGCCCCTTACCTTTGATCACTTCTGGTATAACCTTTTGTAGGTGGTCAATGTACTTTGTGCATACTGAGCTGTTCATTGTCTTCCAAAAGCGCTTCATTCCCTCAATCAGTTAACATTGGGTCTTTGGTTTTATCACAGTCTTTAAATAGTACTTCATTGACCCCTACACATTTTCTATCATGTCTAGATCGGGACTTTTAGATGGAGTTGGCCACCAATCAATGTTTTTGTCTGCTAGGAATTTTTGGTGTATTTACTTGTGTTTTTAGGATTGTTGTTCATTTGAAACTGATATGATGCTGGCATACTTTGAATAAGATGACTAAGCAGCCCCTCCTCTAGAATTCTACAGAATCGTGAAGCTGTGAGTGTCTGTTTGAATATGATTAATTCAGACAGTTGTTCCACTCTTACTGATCTCTGCCCAAACACGAAACTAAAATGGATGTTTAGGTCTTCCTTTCAGTTTCCTCGGCTCATTTCTCTTACGAAAGCAAAGTTTGCCATGCAAGTCTAACTGTACTGAGCATTTGTCAGTCCATATAACATTGTCAAGTTTGTCAAAGTTCACTTGCTGCTTCAAGCACCACTCCAAATGCTTCTGTTTGTTCATCTCTCTGACAAGTTGACAATATTGTGGTCTTGTTGCTACCCAGCCAATAAACTTCCCAGCTCTTTTAATGGTTGATGGTGATATTTCTAAATTTAGCCATTTAGCAATCATCATGTCTCTCAAAAGCCTTTTTTTAGCTCATCATTTTCAGCCATTGCCTCATCAATAAAAATGAGCTGCTTGGCTGAACATGCATCTTGGTAACTCAGCAACTGAATGAAATAAGTTCTCTTTTTTGATCAGTTTGAAAAAGACACTTTGCTCATCGACAATCTTTTCTCTTTAATGTTGAGCCGCCCCAACTTTTGAATCATTCCTACGCCTATGGACTGGTATTATAATAATCCTTATAGCTGTTTATGCATCTTGTAATAGTATACTATAGATGAGTAATATGTAATCTTGACATGTACGTGTGTTGTTAATAAGTACTTAAGGGTGGACAATATTGAATGTTGTTTTACCAGCATGATATCTCATTTTGATATCACAATAATTACTAATAATTGTGTTCATCAAGTTAGGCTGATACAATAATAATGATCCTTTGTAATGGTTCCTAGCCTAGAAATCCAACACAGTACATGTAATTTATTCTGGTTTAGTAGAGGTACCGTTTACATTGCAAGTTGTACTAAGGGTTATGATACATAATTACATGTTCCATTCACATGTATACTAAGAAATGATTATATTCTGTTAGCTGCAATAATACTAATGACTATCATGATAGCTACTAAATACTGATATAATTATTAATAATGCAATTCTCTATTCTCGTTGTTGTATTCCTGGACTACTATTCTTGTATATCTTTGTCTCGTATTGATATTTCTTCCTCTCTTTTGCCTTTCTCTCCTCCTTGTACATGTACATGTACATCTAAATGTTGCTCTTTCTCTTTCCTTCCTATATAGGATTCTGTCTCTCATGTTCTTTGTCCTTTTGTGTTAACACAAGCTTATAGTATCAGTAAGGAACTGTATTATACGTTTTGTATGTCAATGTCATGTTTTTTATTTATTATTTATTTGTAACAGTTTTGGGTCACAGATGCATTGCTTGTCAAGATTCAAGATCCCATGAAATCCACCTGCTCGTTATTTTTGGCAAAACATGTGGGAACAGAACAATCCTAACAACATGATGGTAAGACACAATTCACATTACAGTGCATGTTTTATTCAGTGCATGTACACATGTACAGTAAATGAGGGATAGTGAGTGTCCTTTGGTCAGTAATAATTGATGTGTAATTAATTGTACAGGAGAATAGAATTAAGACAAAATGCTAAGAGAATTCAAAGCATGTCCAATTGGAACAAGTACAATGTTTGAACATCAACGTCACTCAACTTTACACTCTCTCTCTCTCTTTTAGTGCTGTTAACTATACTCATAATCAAGAAACAGTTTGTTCCATAGACATTATCATATTCCTAAGAGAAAAGGCTGTGTTAAGATTAATATGCACTAATGCAATGATAAGTGGTATGTGATGTACATGTACATGTATTTGAGTTAATGGATTACTGAGTAATTGTAATGGTAGTTGTCACAGGCCTATGTCACTGAGTCCCTGACTGCACATGAATGTACAATGTATTCTTAGATAAATCCATTAACAATGACATTGCCTTCTGAGCACAGATGGCAATACAGTTACCATTGCCAATACTATTACTTTTGTAATAACAATTCAGTGCTGTACACCTTCCTCTTATTCCTCTTTTTGTTTCTCTATCTCTTTAGTGTCACCATTTTCTTGATGCATCAAGCTTAGGAGATACTGAGGTCATCAATGAGTCTTGCATTCAAGTGAGGCCAATTATACATTTTCCCTATTTACATTTCTTTCCATGT